TCCCCCCCCCCCCCCCCCTCCTTGCTGTTTTTCTTTCGCAGCGCAAGCGGACGGCGGAAAGGACGGACCCACTTGCATGGACAAGAATCACGGCTGTGCACACATCTGTAGGGAAACACAGAAGGGTGGCATCGCCTGTGAGTGTCGACCTGGATTCCAGCTCACGCGTAACATGAAGGACTGCAAATGTAAGTCATGTTAACCTGAAGCATAGTTCCCCTCTGTACACACACACACACACACACACACACAGGGAAACACACCAGAAGGAGGATTTATAGGCTCCTTATGAAAAGGTAATTGGGGTTGGAGACCTGCTGATGATGGATAATTGTACTCATTCCACAAATGCCTTCCAACAGATTTAAAGTAGGCTACTGACATTTAAGTTACATTACCAAGCAGTGACTAATCTCCTGAATAGTCCTCGTAAAAAAAACAACAACATGTTTATCAAATAAGGAGCGATCATTTACACAACCAGGGCAAGTGTGGAGGTTACTCGAAGGGGACTGCTCTGATGGACAGCGCACACTTCCTGTTGCTGTGCAACGGAGATCATCCTGTCAGAGCTGGGGCCATGGCTGATGGGGGATTTGTCTGTGTTTGGATAAGGATTGGAGAAGTGTTATTCTATAGTTTGTTTTTTTTTCCTCTGACAGCCCAGGAAAAGGGCAAAAGGCGCTGGGATGGTAGGGTGCAGACAGGATGGCGGTGGAAGCCTCTGCTCGTTCGTGCTCTTTTACACTCTGTCATCACAGGTGTGTTAGAGGTGCCACGGTTAATGCTCCCCTCGCCCGTCGGTAGATAAATGTATTTGCACACACATACTTCAACCAGAAATCGTACTCCTGTACTGCCTTTGTAAGAAATATTTAAAAAATGTGTTCACTTAAAAGTTTTTGCTCGTTCTGCAGAATTTATTGCATGCATTAAAATGAAGACGGTCTCAGTAGCGCGTAGGCTGACTTACAATGAGGGAGGAAGCCCCTTGCACGAGGCCACGGCATCGAGTTGCAATGGCAAATTCTTAGTGGTAGTAGATTAAAGTCTGGGGTGTAATGAATGAATAAAACCATGATAGTGGTAAATGTTATTAACGTAGTTCACCAGTTGAAGTTGTGACGATGCAAAGCAAGAAACGCCTTTCTTCACATTAAGATACACAGATTGTTTTGACCTTAGGTAACTTTGGCATTACTGGAGTCAACATTTTTTTCAAATTGGTTCAGTATTGAGGGAGAACGCTTTCAGCCGGCAGTTGTTAAATGGGCTGCAATGTAATCGCTCGGGGCGATTCCGCACTGACAATATACATCGACTAAAAGTGCTTGTTTTTGCCACTAACGAGCTTCGATTTGTGTCAGGGTTTGTTGTGTAGAAAGTGTAGCTTAGTGTTTAAAAGACTTTATATGTCATGGCTGGGTATTTAGCTGATTTTGGCAATACTGATGCAAGATTTCAGAACGAGACTTCTCAGAGCGAGACTTGGTTAGACTCAATAACAAACAGCGCGGATCAAGTGAAAAAGAAAAAGAAAAGCCTTTTATTTTACTCTAGGGTACTTTCCTTAATGTTGTCAGACCCTTATAACAAGAAAAGTGCACTCAGTAGAGTTACTCAGAGAGCAGTGTGCTACGTTATCACTAACAGACATAGAGGTGCACACACGCACTCACGGACGTGCACACACACACACGGTCGATCTCATAATTCTCCTGGCGAAGATCACAATCTGAGCTTGTCATTGGCAAAAACAAGCACTTTTAGTGAACGTAAATTGACGGTGAGGAGTTGCCCTGAGTGATTTCATTGAAGCCCGTTTAGCGGCTGCCGGCTGCAAAGCTGTCTGTCACCGAATACTGGAAGAATATCACAAATGTTTGCCCCATTTAGACACAAAAACATGGAAAAACAGGGTCTGAATAGAAAAATAATCAAAGTGACCCATTAAACATTTCAGTTTAATAAGAATAAAAAAATGTTGAAAGTTCAAAAAAATAATTTTGCTCTTGCTTTTCAGACTGTTTGTCTTTTCCATATTGTTAAAATGTTGGGACGAAGTTGTGACTTTGTTTGTCCAATCATTCTGAGAAACTCTGCAATGGGAAGCTTTACATAAAGTCTCCTTGAGGCCCTCTGAAGGACTGAATGCAGTCTGAGCTCGCAGTGATTATGTTTCAGAACATATGGCCGGTTGTTGCTTGTCGTAGCCCTCTCTGTTCCTTCATTTCTTGTCACCTCTCTACTGTCAAAAGTATGTGTATGTGCCGTTTATGTTAACGACTTGTGCTCTTTGATAGTGACATGTAACTACGGTAATGGGGGTTGCCAGCACATCTGCGAGGAGACGGACCACGGCCCCAAGTGTTTGTGCCACATGAAGTTTGTCCTGCACAGCGATGGAAAGACTTGTGTAGGTGAGTCACCTCATCCCGATACAACTACCAAGGGCAAGAAATAATGGCTTTTGAACAGGAACATTTTGAGCCACAACTGATTAACTCGGCACCCAATATCCCGACAGCAAATTGAATTAACGTTTGAAATGAGGTTTGTTGTGATAAAATGCAAGTTGAGAGACTGGCCTTGTTACAGTAGTTCTTGATCTGTGACATACAAGGACAAAAGGCTACCACCCACTGTGCTTTCCCCTCTGCTGCTGCTGCTCCAGTAACCTCTCAGTCCCCGCATCTGCTTTGGCTTCTCTTCTTCCTCCTCATCCATCTCTTCTTCACTGGACACAACAGCTCTCCCTATTCCTCTCGGTTTCTCAGCCATGCAGTCAGACGCACACCTTCTATTAGCCCTGGGGTCAGTACCTCCACCGCTTCCCGTTGGGAATTAACTCACACATCTGACCTGACCTTCCACTTGCATTATTTATCAGTGTTTGCCTTCGGTTGACTTAAGTTGAGTAAAAAATCATTCAGCCTCTCAGGCATATTGAACCGCTTTGAAGGGCAGTTTCCTATCAGATGGGGCCTGTAGAGTCAAAGCACAGTTCTAATAAACATGTACGGATCATGCAGAGTTGCACCGACAAGTCAACAATCGTGGAACATTAACAATGAAGTTAGTCAGGTCTAAATTTAAGACCGACCATTACTGCAGACATGTCTTTAATTTAACCAGAGTGTCATTAATAGTTTCTGTATACAGTACAAACCCATTCAAACCAATTCTGTGAGTACTTTGCAGTGTTAGTAAACTGGGTTTGTAATGGAAGCTTCAGTGAGTTGGACAGGACATATTTTCATTGTCAGGAAGACAAACGGTAATAGAATTAGAGGCTCCGCCTGCAGAGCAGACTGGTGGGGTGGTTGCTCGGTTTCCGTGGCTGTTAAGTTTGGGAGCTTGGTTTGGGTAGCGGCTGATTAGCTCAATGCTGCTGGATTCCCTTTTATTACCGCAGCCCTGATGAGAGCCAGACCTATGTCAAGGTCTGGTCAGCCATCCTGTCATTATTGCTGTACCCTGCTAGGCCAGGGGGGACGCCACAAAGTTGACCGCAACCAAATTATATGTCTTAGCTTGTCTTATTCCCAAGGCGGAGCAAATGTGCATTTGGTGTGCCAGATTAGGAAGCAGTCAGCCAGTTAAAATCTCTGATTTCCCCTCTCAGAGTCTGGGGTTACAGAGGTGGAGGGAGGGCTGCTCTGCGGTCGACACAGGGGCGCTCCATCTCCCAGACACTCTATTAGTTAATAAAAACCTAAATAAAACAAACAATCTGCCAAATGAACCACTGACGGGGAGAGAGAGAGTGACACGAGCGTCGGAAGACCTTCAGTAAGGCACCACTATTGTGCACTGTGTACACTAATAGTTCAAGTTGGTGTGCTAGGTTTGAATACAATAACATTATACCTCTGGCAAAAAGATATGACAGCTACCTCTGCTTTGCAGAAGGACATTTCATTTTGAATTAGTTCAAGGCTTAAAACAAATGGTTTTCTCTTGGAACAAAGAAATCTAATTCTAATCGTGAATTAAGTTTCAAATAGTCTTGAATGTCACAAATGAGATAAAAAATAGCCTGCTGGGGTTGTTTTATTTTTGCGTGCCATCTTCATGGCACATAGTGATAATTACCTCCCAGCCACCGCATTCTTAAAAAGTAAATTATGCGTAGAGTGTAGAGGGTATCAATAGCAACCACACAATAAGAAAATACACTCCTGTTTTTGATTTCGATTTAGTAACATTTATGATTAATTGAATCTCTGCATACTCCATCTAAAAGAAACATGGCCCGATTACAGAACAGCTCTTGCCCCGTCAGTGGCTTTGTTGTTAGTCTGGGGGGCTCTTTCAGTATGCTGTAGCTTCACCATTCAATCCATCTTGTGGGATGTTTAATATCATTTTTGACACATTTTTATTCATTTTTGGGGTGTTTCTCCTCACCCAGGCTTGGACATGCATTTTGTAATGAAACACCACATGCTGCTCTGTTTGGAAGTGTTGGTTCTTTATCCTTCCTCTCTCACCTTTGTTCATACCTTGCATACTGTTGGTGGCAGTTTTATGTCAGCTGGGCCTTTATGGAGGGCACGTTGTTCTCTTTCATTCATACACACAAGCACACGCACTCTCAGAGGTATTTGTTCAACTCGCCTACTCAATCTATGAAGTCAGATTATTTGCCTGAAATCAACAAAATGTAACAAAGTCAGGTTTAGTTGTTTGTGCATCAAGTAAGTTCAGGTAGTGTCATGTGGAAGCATTTACGCTGTTAGCACAGCAAATCATAAACATTCACAAATAGCAGGCAGATGCAGACATGCTCAGGAGTTCAATCATCTGAAGAGTTGGCCACACTATGCCAAACACACACACACACACACACACGCGCATGAAGAAAGAGAGCAAGAGATGCATTTTATAATACAAACAGAAAGCTGTACAAACAACCACACAAACGGTACATATCCAGCGTGCATGCATCACATGCATGTAAACACATGTAGTCTACACGCATATGCCCGTAACATAAACACACTGTGCTCTCATTTCGGGTGGTCTGTGCGTTCATGCTGGTGTTTTCAGATGTACCTCACAGTGCTCTGTCCTCTTAACTGCTTATAATTGCTGTGTCTGGATGCTGCATGTTGGGACGGGGACATGTTGGTCCATCTGTGGCAGTTGACGTGAACTGTTCATGCTTTGTGGTGTTGACCTGTTACTCTCAAGAGTTGAGCATCTGCTTCCTCATCTGGCACCTAAAAAGAGCTCTGAATTGGTCATCCTGACAGCCAAAGGGGCAGAAGAACATGCTTTAATTACAGGGGTTGATTTATTCTGAAATAATGTTTATAATTGATAACATAATTGAAATAGTGCAGGCATATACATGGTAGCTCTTGCTGCAGTTCAAGATAAGACCCTCAAAAGGTCTTTTACCTTTTTCCAATTTGTTGATGTGCTTAACGGCCCAATCCGTCATCCCAGCTGTATGGTGGGAGAGTGTGCGTGGTCTGCATACTGAATGTGTGCCATGTAGTCTAGTATAAAAGTATAAAGCTAAATATACATCCAGTGGACTGTAGAAATGGGATACACTTGAATTTGGCTTGTAGATTTTTTTTTTTAAATTAAAAGCCAATCAATTAAAAGTCGTAATATGACATAAATGATGAACACAAATAGCTTTTTAATGACAACACATAAATTGTAAGGCTGGGCCACTGCCAGTGCTTAGAGATTCGATATAAAAGCCGAACAACATTAATTCTGAAATGATCTGTGCATAAAAGACACCATAAAGCGCAGACATGGATCTGACTGTCCCCGTCTTTCAGCTTGCAGCACTAACCACCACTCGCTCTGTCTGTCCGAGCCTCGCAAGGCTCATACTAACTAGCAAAAGCCCCATCTCACACGCAAACAGAACTGCACTTTGTCTGCACTGTGTGGAATATGTTATTTGCATGATTGCATGTGGCGAGGTAACACTTTTTTCCTTGAGATGTCACCCTTTTCATTCTAGACGAGGATCTGTCATAAACAATTTGTTGGTTGGAAAATAATCACTGCTGTTTGCTCAGTTGTTACCAGTAAGAGGCTGTCTTTTTATTTTATTTTTTATTTTAATTTTTCAACAACATAATGTCATTCTCTCATTATCGCCTCCTGTGGATGTAAATGGCCATTAACGTTTGTTTAATTCAGGAGAGATGACCCCCTCTCATCCATGCTATCCACCTTTTTCCTAGCCCTATGATATCTTGCATGAATTATGTGTGCATTTTCTTTTTTGTTGGAACTTTTCGAGAAATGAATAATGTGGGAACAACCTGTCAAACGGGATAATGTGATAATACCTTTACCTAAGTAAGTAAGTTAGCTTAGCTTAAGCTAAAGTGGTATGGTGATCAGAAGCAAGTTATGCTGTTTGCAAAGAAGACAAATCCAAAACGGCTTACTTGTCTGCTACTGTTATGATGAATAAGTCTGCTTTTAAATACACACGGTTCTGTTCCACCTCATTTAATAAAACGCTGCTGACTTTATTGCTGTGGAGGTATTGATACGCCTCAGAGCTATTCCGACTGTTCATCGATTCCCCGTCTGTAGCAGCATAATAAATACAATAGCTAAGTATTCTACTTTACATTATCAATGCTACTTCTTCAGGGCCTCCCCACATCCCTCTGTAGTACAAGGCAGAGGTATCATCACATTATCCCATTTAAGGTGTGGCAGGTTGAGTTCTCACCTAATGTATTTCCCTAAAATCTCCACACAAAAAAAGAAAAGAGGAACAACACCTGCAGCATAGCGCTAACTCTCACTGCCGCCTCTTCAATGACGGGAATAAATGGAAGTTGCGCTCATAATTCATTATGGGGAAAAGGTGGATATACTGTAAATTACATCGGATTAGTTCTTGTCACATGCTCATGATTTACGTAACGCACCGATGCTGCGTGGTTCAAGTGTACAGAGAACTAAAGTGGTGTTTTTACAATGTGTGCGTGTGTGTGGGTGTGCGCGTGCATGCAGGGGAGAGGAGTGTCCAGTCCCAGGCAGCCCCACAGCTGTTCCCCAATGGTAAATATGTGTTCCTCTGACTCCTCTCTCTGGGGGTCTGTGGGTGTGGGGAGTAGAGGAAGCCAACCTAGCAGGCACTGATCAGGCCCCTCCCCACAGGGGCATCATCCTCCTGACCCTTAACCTCTGACCCCCACTCCCCTACCTTCCTCTTTCTTCTGTGAATGCCCTCTCAATAACAGCCGCTGCCCGTGTCAAACCGCACCTTTTCAAAACACAGCTGCAAACAGGGAGTCTCTGAGCAGCAGTATGAATGTTATATAAAGGGATACAGATTCACTCTATCAAATGGAGAGATATGACAAATTCATCTTCCTACATTGGTACAGTTACTCAAGTATTGTACTTAAGCACAGTTTTGAGGTGCTTAAGTATTTCCTTTTTATGACACTTTATCTACTCCACTACAATTAAGAGAAAGATATTGTACTTTTCACCACACTACTTTTCTCTGATAGCTGTTGTAACTTTTCAGATAAAGACATTACATAAAAAACCTCAGATAAACTTATAAAATACATAATAAAAGATTAAATGAGTGGCTGCCAACCTTTCCGGCTAATGACCACTTACAAAAAAACTGTGGGGCCCTTGTCGCATTTCAGGTGTAATTTCAGGTGGCTTGTAATACTTCTGTACCTTGGTAGGACTTTGAATGCTGGACTATTTATCCACTGGTACATTTACCCTAAGTAGAGGATGAGAATATGTTTACAAGTACACGTAGCCTCTGTCAGAAGTCCAAATCAATTTAAATGTGATTGGCTATTAAGAGGCAGACCAAAGACTTTAGTGTTATTTGTGTTTTGATACGACTAAAATGAACGAAATTGAGCATGCACGGTTCTAAACGACTCAGCCGTGGTGTTCCTAACCTCCATCATCACGGCATATTAGCTTTTGTGAGGGAGCCAATAATGTGTTCATGATTGCTTCATAGAAAAGATAAAACACGGAATCCCTCTAAACTTGCTTTTTCATACACATGTAATCGTGTCTCCTAAAACAATCTATTGCAGGGACTGTGTGATATTTCAGTCCAGGTTCTTCTTCTATTTTGTTTTCAACAGTAATTTGTTTCACGACGATTGCAGTAAAATGAACAATGGAGCGAGTTTTGGGCAAAATAAAGAAGAGAAATAGTATCATTTTGAGCATATCACAAATGAGCTGTGTTTTAATAGCTATGGCAAAGATGCCAAGAGATATGAACTCCTGAATCTACGACGATGTATCAAACCTCGATACTTCAAAGAGATTTACGATTTAATTATACAATGTAAGAGACTGAGGGAGGAGGCTTGTTCTCAGAGGAGTAGCCTGCTCAAGGTAAGATGCAAAACAATAGTGTTTTAAGTTACTAGTTGTTACTACTGTGTGTACATTGAGTTCCCCTTAATGCCACAATATAACAGTCTGACCTATTTCAATATGTTGTGTCCCAGTTTCTGTTTTTTTTTCTTCTCTCAGAAATAGAAACATTAGGAGCAAGAGACATATTTTGCATCTTCCTTTATTAGTTTCTTACTGAGACCAACTTTGTGTTTTGCTTTCACAGTTGCACCCCTAGAGAACATCAACAAACTGCTCTCAGTGGTTTATTTTCTTATTGTGTGGTTCATGTTTTTGAGGGAGCATTCACCTCAGAAATTCAGACGGCTTTTTGTCTAACAACTGCACCTTCTGGGAAACTTTACTCTAACTGCATGTCTGCTGTTTGGTCAAGAAAACAGTGTTTTTTCTCTTTTAAAAAACAAGATCTTTTCCACCAAAGCCATATATTCTCGGGGATCAACACCCAGAGAACCTCTGCCTTGTGTCTTTTTGCAAATGCTGTCCACTCACTCGTTGACTTATGTTGTTTGCGGCCGTCATAAATGGCTGATGACAAGTTGTTTGTAAACAGTCCTTATGTAAGTCAAGAAGTGCTGCAGCAAGAACTCTTGTGGCTTCCTGTTCAGAGATTATGTACACTGTCTGAACCCGTCTGTATGAAACATACACTGTGGAGGCTCAGCATTAGACCAAACACCCTACACGTCATATTGCCGAATATTTACAAAAGTCTGCCCACTGTTAGTGTAATTGCGGGTCCCAACCCGGTGCACTGTAGATGTGGCTGGTGTGAATCCAAAACACACAAACCCACACACATAATGTCAGGAATATTTCTTTGCTCTCTTAACACATGGTCATTACAGTTTGGTGAGATGGCTGGCTGACTAAGCGTTTTGGAGGCATGTCCTGACACCGTCTTATCGTCTCGTCTGCCAACTGTCTCCGCTCACACTTTGCAATTATGTGAACCCACAGTGCTATCAAGCCTGGCTCGGGACGGAGGTATTGACTGGAAGCAGTAATGTCAGTCACACAGCCATATCTATGCAAAGTTTGCTAACATTGGCCTGCAAAAGCTACTGGTCGTACCACAGACCGTAAAACTGCTGAATGTGTTGAATCTAGAAATAAAATGCACTTTACTCGTTCTGATCAAACACTCCTATAAAGTGTGTCATTTCAGGTTGAAACCATTTGACAGCTATAGTAGAGGTTCACTTTTAAACCTTTGGAAAATGTTTTAACCAGAGAAAAAAAGGCAAATAGTTTAAGTTAGTTGATAGTTATGTCTCGTATGAATCATGACAACACTTACCAAATGCATTCAGACTGCATCGACAAAGGGAAGCGCCGGCCAGGAGTTGAAACCAACCGAAAACACACACAGAAGGTTTAAGAACAGTGTGACGAATGCAGCTAATGGCCATGTAAGCTAAGACGAGCCGCCTCTCATATTGTTTGCAATGTTCACTTAGTCCATTCCAGGTTGAAGTCATTTTTCATGAAGTGATCATGAACTTTATTTACTATTAAATACTTCATTTAATATTTACTTACCCTGGTACAGTACATTAATGCATCATGTTCCGCCTTCAGCAACAACATCCACTTAACTGTTTTGAACTGTTGTCTATGAAACAACTATAAAACTTAAAATGACATCACTGTAAGCACTTGTTTTGCGTTGATGCATAATTCCAGTCCACGGTTTAGTTTTTTTAATTTAGAGAAAGAGCTTTGCAAAGTTTCATGATGGCTGCTGCAGGCAGTGCAGTTTTAGATTTAAGTGAAGAGGATTAGGTGTTTCCCCAAAGGGATCCTCGTTCGCTATAAAAAAAATAAACCAGTGCAGCTGCATTCCCTATTTAGTGCCACATGTGAGCTGCCATCTCCCTGCTAGTGAGACGTCTTCGACTGGCCCAGCTGGGCTGGTAACTTTTTTTTTTAAAAGCGCTGCCAGCCAGCATCCTACAACCCATTACAGAGATGAGATGTCCTGTGAGGATGACCAGTTGCCTTACAGCAAGTTAAAATGATGTTCCAAGTCGCAAAAGGCTTTTTTAAATTAGTTGTTTTTTTTGTTCTGAAGTGTGTGAGGCTTTCTATAAAGCTGCCAGAAACTATTAAGGCACACACCGGTCTCCTTTATGTGAGAACACATTTATCCTGTGCTGTTGCTTAAAAGGAAAGTCTCAGTGAAATGTGTCCCCGTCTGGAGAAGAGACCTCAGCTATCCTGTCTTGACTGACTACCTCCCTTTTTTTTTTTTTTTCAAAGCGGTCTTGCCAACACGGGGACAAGGTAGCTGAAATTGCTTTTTTTTATCCCCAAAATGCCTGGAAGGTTTTGTCAAAAACCAGGAAAAAGTGGCAGTTTTGTCGCATCTGTCTTGAAGTCAAACCTCTGCCCTCATGATGGAGGGAGGACAGATGCCCTGCAGTACAAAGGACTCTTGGAGGTCGTAATGCCATTTGAACAAAGAAAAGCAAACATGCACACACACACACACACACACTTTATACATAGAGAAAATGTGTGAGACCCTTTATTTGGCTGTGTTTGATCTCATATTTCCCAATGACTGTCCCCTTTCATTATTCACAAGCATCTTCTCAGTTCCTTTACTCTTAATCTCATCCAGCTGCTGCATTTCTTTTCTCTTTTCTGGTTTCCTTCTTCCCTCCTGTTTTCTACTGACCGTCTGCTCTGCTTCTTATTGTTTTGGCTCCTGTTGGACACTAAAAAAATAATGCGGAGTACAATAGCGTGCCTTCAAATTGTTGCAATAATACCATTATGCATATTTGCTGTTCTGATGGGGAGAAATAAGTAGGTCAAGATGGCATCTATGGTGTATTTCTCAATGGGGGTTTGTCTGACTGCGAGTTGTTTCCCTGCAGAGACCTGTGCGGTGAACAATGGTGGCTGTGATAGCACATGTCACGATTCAGTGACGGGAGTCCGCTGCAGCTGTCCTGTTGGCTTCACTCTGCAGCCAGACCGCAAGAGCTGCAAAGGTAAAGCATCACCGTGTCTCACCACACCTGTCCAGCTGTCACCAACTTATTCTCCCGCTTGTCGTGTTGCCACGTCGGAGCTTCTTTGTCCACCTGAAGCTCACAGGAATTATCAATTCACTTACTTTTCCTACCCGCTAGTTGGAGTTTCTCTTTATAAACTACATTATCATTGTTTTGCACCCACAGGTGCTCTGTTCAACGTCTGTATCCTTACTGGTGCCACCAAACTTTCACCTCTTTTTTGCTTTTCAGCTGCATATTTTGAGTAATATTTTGTGATGCAACAAATCCGCAACTCAAGCATCCTGTTGCAACATTTTTTTAATACTATGTATAATAGAATTGACTCCAAACTTAAGGGTAGAATTAAGAATTATATTAGGAGACTATGAAAAAAAAAAAAAAAAAGGCACTATTGACTGTCAGAGAGTTGGATGACTTTAGAGAGAGTGAGGACAATCTGAGTTTCGGGAACACCCGGGAGAGGAATCTGTCAGCCATGTACGGCTCGTAATGTTACGCTAACAACTCTGATAAAAGTACATATTATATTAGTTTGGTTTTAGACGCAATAAGAAGAAAACAAACCTAGGCAGCTCTGGCACAAGAAAACGGGGACTTCTGTAGAACAGAGACAAAGATGGAGCAAGGAAGGGATTGTTTTATTCCTTTTCAGATGCATTTATTTCAACCAGATGAGGAAGACTCCCTCAAGAGATGGACGCCTCATTTGTGACGATGATTCGGAATTAATCAGAGCCGCTGCCAAACTTGCCAAGACAGAGCACCATCAAAAGCGAGGATGAACACATGATAAATTGATTGGGTATTGGAAATGAAGAGCAGAGTAACCGGAGGGAGACGGACAACGATGATTTCGAGTTCTCTAGTGCTTTGCTGTGTGAGAGCTGCGTCCCATTGCAGCCACAGACAAACTGGTTTTAGCCCTTCTGGGGGCCAGTAAGGAAATCCCTGAAGCTTATTTCCAGTTTCCGCAAGACTGTCACGGACGTATTCATCCTATTTTGGAATAGTTCTGCACCATTAGCCTTTTGTTCTTTTATCTCGTCCTCGCTGTTCAGATTTAACAACTTTTCATGAACTCCTGTTAAAGCTTCTATAATCATCAGTATATTTTTATATCAACAATGGATCACATGGCTACGACTCTGCAGATCCCCTCAACTTTATGGAGCTTGAAAAACACACTGTACATTTCCGGCCCAGCACCAAATGGCGGACAGAGATAGCGACCAGCTGCTCAACATTGTGGAGCATTTAGCAGATATTTTTCTCAGGAGTTGGTGGAGATTAAAAACGGTGCTAAAAGAAAGTAAATATTGGACTTGCATTCATCAGGTGGACAGAAACACAACTCCAAATGAATGATATTGTTGCTTTGTAACTGCTGGATGTGTAGATGGGTCGTTAGCGGTTTGCTAAAAAGAAAAATATGTCCGTGTTCTGTTCACAGCTTGTTTCCACTTACCCCCAAAAACCAAGTCTTTTGTGATGTGTGATTTGGTGTATCCCCTGTTGGTGATTTTCTGTTCACAGACATCGATGAGTGCCGTCTCAACAATGGGGGGTGTGATCACGTGTGCCGAAACACAGTCGGCAGCTTTGAGTGCAGCTGCAAGAAAGGCTACAAGCTGCTGACCAATGAGAGAACTTGTCAAGGTAGGTCGCCCTTTTTGAACCACTTTTTACCAACACTATTTTCTGTAGACGCATACCCGAAACCAACCTCAACACTTTCTGTCTTAAACATAGTGATGTCCTCCAAATAGCACAAACATATGCTCCCTCCAGCATGCAGAGAAGCCAAACCAGGCCTCTCTGACTTGTTTGTCTGTTATATTTGGTGGTAGCCATCTCAGCTCAGCAGGAGCTGGGAGGACGAGCTGCAGAACTAATAAAGAGTCTGCCATGGCGGAACACAGGTGTGGGGAATTAGTGCTCCAACTCTTAAACCTCTGGTTCTTGGATGAATCAAGCCATGACAGAACCATCTGGTGAGAGAAGACAGGCAGGCTAGGACTGTGGTGCCGAGCTCAGCCTCTCTCCGAGTGGAAAAACAGATGACACGCTATTTTTTTGATTCTTTTTTCTTTATTGATGTGGTCGATCAATATCCAGCCTGGTACACATCAATGTCATGCCATGGGTCTAGAAGTGCTGCACTGAATCACACCACTCTCTTCCCAGTACACAAACATCTTATATGTTCAATGAAAAGAAGACACTGTGTCACTGGGCTTTGCAGCCACTTTCTTGTCACTTCAAATCTATTTTTGGTGGGACGCCTTGCTCTCAGTATTCAGAGCAGAACAATGCAAAGTTTATTTTGCCATAATAGCGCAGATGACTGAGAAAATGTGGTAGGAATGTAAATCTCAGTTTGTTTTCCGTGGCACCATGCCTTAACCCACTCCGTCATGTGCTGTTTGGGTGCACACGGGCAACTTGGGAACAGTGTTGTCCTTGTTTGCTGCTGTGTGTTTTGTCTGGAGTGAAGGGTTGTGATAAAGCTCACCTCTTGTTGAGTGAGGTGTTGCCAGGCTCACACACACTCCACACTACTGTCTGCCTCTTATCCTCTCCACTCATTCCTTTCATTTTTCTCACCCCTGGAACGAGAGACAGGCAAAATAAAAACGGAGTGCCTCTCAATAGAACTTCATCTTAATGATTTATCCCCTGATTCTGGGGGGTTTGCCCCTGATGTTGGTATTAGACTATGTGATTAAAGGGGCACTCCGTGGATTTAGTATTGCACTTCCATAAAGTCGGGGGATTCACAGGAGACGGATTGGAAAAAAGAAAAGTCAAAATCAGAGCAGCAGGGGCCGAGCTATCCTGACTTTTAGTCGTTATTCTGGAAAGCTTTACAAACAAGGATGATTATGGTATTAAAGGATATTGACGTGAGTTGGAAAACGAAAATCTACTCACTAACTTTTAATACTTTCTACAATAATTTCCAGTTGTATTGTAAATCCCTGAAAAGTATGAATAAAACATCCGCAAAGACAAGCAGCGATGTGTAAAACTGTACAAATTTATACAGCCTGACTGTACTAACCTTTAATTCAACTGTATTTTAGTGTCTTTTATAAGACCATCCCTCCCAGTTTATAACGCAGGATTTAAAAAAAATGGAAGCTCAATTCAAGACGACCCTTTTCTCATAGTTGACGAAACTCCTCCAGAGCCACAAATGTGTGGAGTGCCCCTTTTATACACATAAAATAACCCCACCATGCATCTATTATGAGCATAAACTGGCAGATTAAGAAAATGAAGGGTGACCTGCAGCAAATGGTACAGTACTGCAGTTTTGTTTAATAAGGGCTCGGTGGTGTGTCGTGGCTTTCTGTGACACTTAAATAGACGTTCGCTGTCTCCACGAGGTGTTGAGATGTGTAAACTGAACTCTGGGTTTATCTTGGTTTAAACAGTCATGGTGTTTCCCTGCTGTCAGTCGACCATGGCCCATGAATCAGGATGGGGCATGTCTGCTTGAGCCTCTGTCAGCATTCCTCCTCCCTCAACAATCTCCTTCTCGCTCCTAATCCACATGAGGGCACTCGGGGAGATGCTCATCAGATGCCATGTTTTCTCCAGAAGGAACATTTTGATAGAGCTCTTATCTGTTCCGTATAAACAACAGTGACCTTCTCTTAGTTCCAGTCAACCTCATTTGCCTCCTCAGAATGTAGTATTGAGCATAAGGGTGGAGGTTAAAGTGAGGCGCTGAGTCCTGACACACAGATCTGTGCTCTGCAGTGAGTGGGCAGATTAATAGAGGGCAAAGAGAGGAAATAATTGATGGGAGCTGTGGTCTGTTATTTCTGTTCACATCTCTCTATGTTGCCCTGCACGTACATGCACATCACCTCATGATGCAGTCTCGCCAACCCGCTGCATACTTCACTGTAGCTGCCTGATAAATAAGGGTTGTACTGTAGGAGTCCCAGATGTCTTCACACATCTCCTCTGTGGCGCAGCACAACACAAGACGATATCATGATAAGTTGCAGATCGACTTCTGGCGTCACGTACTGCAACATTTTTTTGAGGGTAAACTTGAGTCACCGCGCCCAGAGGGGTTTTTTGACTCTTCACTTAAAAAGTGTGCTGAGCAAAGTTTACGCTCAATACGCCAATAACAATCACTTTTGCAATGCCTCATCCAGCGCGTGCAAACCCATGCTGCTCTCATCTACCACTGCTGTCATGAGTCTCCAGGGGCCACCAGAGGGGAAGAACAGCGGGGACTGAACGAGAAACGTTATTCAGCTTTGTGATAACCTTTGACTCTCACATATAGAACCAGTGCATCAGGTTCTGAAAGATCATTTAGATGTTCAACCTAAAAAAAATATTTTTTTCTGCAAAAGTGGATTATTTTTAATGGTTTTTAATGAGGTAGAGTTGAGTCATCAATTAATAACTTTTTTCAACCTGCGGATCTCCTACAAAGCTGCTCTCACAGCATGCTTGACATATATTATTAACCTCGATGACTGTCTTCACTGGTCTGCACCGACTTTAGCTTGTATACATGAAGGAATATGCCCAGTGTGAATATGTGAATATTTTGTGCAATTCCATGCAAGATTTGTGCATGTCTGTCTTTATCCGTCTGTCTTTTTGGTTTCTTCAAGGTAACCCATTATTTAACCGAACTCCTGTAATTGTTGTGAAATACCTGCGTCAACTGTTTAATGGCGGCTGGCGCTGCCTCATAACTCGGAGGAGGTTCAGATAATGTGGATGAAAGCAGGTTCTTCATGGGAAAATCCTGGGAACCTTTTGTTAAATTAGTCAATTACAGTAGGCATCCAGCGAAGTTGTAGCACATCCCGCATTGTCTCCCACCATGTGCTGCCTGGGCTTGACTTAGATTTTTGCTGACATTAAAGGAAACCTTGATCGTAATAATACCAAATATCATCCGCCTCCTGTAGCTTCATGCATCAATCTGTCTGGTCTTTGAGCCTGTGACATTTTAAGCGACTTATCAGGATGCATGTGTAAGAGAGCAGAGAATCTCAAAAAGATAGGACTGGGTGAAAGGCTGAAAGACATTACTGGCAGGAAGGAAGGAGATGTTGCTGTGTGTATTTGCAGGTTTGACGAGGCTGTGTGGGTCAGAAGGACCAAAGACGGTAAAAGCAGACATCTTCCTATCTGCATCTGACATATTTCTTTAAATACTGCAATGATCACTGTTTTTTTTGTAAATGATTTTAAACACATGAAATCCATATGTCCTCAGAACCAACGAAAGAGACGTCACATTATGTGGATTCTAACAACACTGGGTGATTTATGGTATGGTTAAGAGGAGAAAGGGGAAGGTGATTGGCAGGTTTTATGAGCGGAGAATACGGCACTTCAGCTCCTATTATCAAGCAGAGAGCAGACGTTCTTTTGACTCCTGCTGTGGTCGCTTGTTATTTCAAAGATACTTCGAAAAGTCCATTTCAGAACATCAAAATGGAAAACCGAATGACAGCAGGAGGTCAACCACTTTACCTGGCACCAAACACAAGATGTCTTGCTTTCAAAGGATGCTTTTTTTGTGTTGCAACATGTGTTTTGACCCATTACAATTCATGACAAAAGATGAAAACATTTTTTTGAGAGGTTTGTAACAGTATGTCTTTCTATCTATGCAGACATCGATGAGTGCTCTTTTGATCGCACCTGTGACCACTTCTGCATCAACTCTGCCGGCAGTTTCCAGTGCCTCTGTCATAAAGGCCACATCCTCTACGGCCTGGCGCACTGTGGGGGTGAGCCAGCACGCCTTGTCTCTTGATGTAAATCTCTCCTATCCATTGCTCTTCCTCTGCATCCTACACCTCTTTGCACAGTAACCCTTTATTTGTCCAATATTTTGGTTTATGTCCAAATGCCAAATGTCTCAACTGTATTTTGTGTTTAGTGCTAATTAGCATGCTACCGTATATACATAACAAAATACCTGCTCCAACATCAGCATGTTAGCATGCTGGGTTTAGCATGTAGCTCAAAGCACTGTTGGGCCTAAGTACAGTCTCAGAGCCATTAGCCTGGCTGTAGGTTCTTATTCTTGTTACATAATGTGAAAGTCAACGTCATTGAACAACTAGAAAGGTAATCCATCAAAGTGAACATTTGGTTCAATAAAGGTTATTCCAATATCTGACAATGTTGAGTTGCCTTCCTAACAGCAAGCCGTTCACACAACATTATGGTTTTCAAAGATTCTGTTTATTTTTATTGTTCATCTTTTCACCCCGTGACTCTGCATGTCACAGCTTCCTTAAAATAGAACCATTAAGATGTTTGAATGTAGATTTTTAAATTGATTTAAAATGAGCGCGAACAGGTGGCGGTAAAATGAATCTAAGAACTTTTGCTGCACTTGGCAGTAACGTGAAGTGTTGGCGATTTGTGCTGTAGTTACATGAAGGTGGAGGTGGAGTATGACTGTGTTCATTAAACATTAGCAGGTACCTACAGTACTCTGGTGTGGAACAGATAGCAGAAACAGCCTTTGGTGTCAGAAGGAGGTGTGTGGGGGGGCGTCAGATCTGCCTTGCAGGCAACAAGCGGCCCGCCAGAGCACATCGGGGTGTTGCGGCGGCCCTTTGATGGAGTGTGTATCACCAGTAAGAATCTGCTGCTGTCTCCAGCACCTCAGGGCCTCACAGTAGTTCTGGGAGAGACGGAGAGAGACGGCATATGCACTTGAAATACATAGCTTTGCAGTGATTTGTTCTTTTTTTTTTTTTTGTGTGTGTGTGTGTGTCTGTAGTTTGACAGGTCGACTGATCAGGAATGTTGCAACAGAATGTAGAATAAGCAATGAGACCAGAGAGCATTAACGTGTAGATGTATGATATCATGAGGTCTGCACAAACACAACAGTGTAGTCAGTTACACCCTCAAAGAGTAAGAAATAGGACCATCTTTATGCAACGTGCCGAATTGAGGACCAGTGCATGTTTTACCGCTATTTCTCCCCATGTTTCCTGTCTATATTTTGACTAATAAAGGTAAAAAGGCTTACTATGCAACAGCCAAATTCAATATAATTTTATTTATATAGCCCAATTTCACAAATTTGCCTCAGAGGGCTTTACAATCTGTACAACGAAGGGCATCCTCTGCCCTTGGACCCTCCCATCGGATAAGGGGTTTAAGGGGTTGAAAAAAAAAATTGAAGACACTTCAGGGAGAGCAACAGATGAGGGATGCATCTCCCAGGACAGACAGAAAGTGCAAGAGATGTCATGTGGGCAGAATAAACAACTAAATAGATTTACAACATAGCAAATAAATATGACAGAAAGTATATATATTTATGAGAGTAGTAATATCAGAAATAATATAAAAATAATTACTAATAATAAAAACAGCTGTGGATATAATAGAATGATAATAATAGAAATATGACTAATAGTAGCCGTCTCACATGCTGGAAGTGGAACAGCTGTATTAAATACCTGCTTTTTGAAGCTCAAGTAATGCTCAGCTGAAACTCGGTCGAGTCGGAGAGATTGTCGTAATGCTGCTGTGCTGAGATGTCGTGTTCTGTCGCAAGGGGTTGCTTTTATCTCATCCACCCCTGTATATATGGTTGAATTACAGACACTGGCAGCTCTATTAGCTGACAATTCGGGTAATGAAAGTACCAGAATTCGATTTGTAGGGCTTTTGCTCACATGATGGACTGTGATCAGGCCACAGTGAGCTGCTGAATGGAGAGAAGACGGTCAGGCGTAAGTGACTCCCTATTCCATTGAGAGAGAAAGTGATGAATGATTTCCTCTCGCTTTTCATCGGCGCTGTCAGAACTGTTGGATAACCCCAGAGATTTATGGCGCTCCCTGTTGTACTTTTTCACTCCTGACCATAACCAAGGTTATGTTATTCCACATGTGGTTTATCAGCCGACGTGGAACTGCCAACAATCCAGAAAGCGGTGCTCAGTGTTTAACAATAGACTCACCCTAAACAAACCCAATTAGGTCAGTGACCTGCTGTCGAGCATTGTGCCGAGGCCTGTCAACATTCCTCCCAAGTGAGCGTATATCCAGCCATTCTCCCTCTCAGCTAGCAAAACAATCCGCTCATTTTTGCTGAACTGGTAGGAAAATAGTTGGACTGGAAGCAGTTGGGACTAAATACTTTGTAGTTCTTTTTTAATTTACCTCATTTGATCCAACCAGCATTGACCTCAACAGAAGGCTTTCTTCTGGTACTGACAAAATGTATGTTTACATGGATCTAAGAAAAAGCATGAATGTAATCCCCCTAAACCTCACAGTTTAAGTTGATATCTTATCTAGCTGTCCAGGTTGTGTTTAGGAAAATCCCTCTTGAATACTCGCACTACGATGTTTGGACTGGGAGTTTCTGATGTTGATGATTCAGCACACAAAAGTGATTAAAATTTGAGGACGGCAAGATTTCCGTGAACAAACCGTCACGAAATTCCTCTCAAATTCCACAAAGCCATTGTTGAGTCTAACTGTCAGTTTGTCTTTTTTTCTTTTCCTTCCCCGCTCATCTCATCTTCTGTAAGAGCACGCAAAGAAAAATACTTTGGAGAAAGGTCAGAATACATGTATTCGGTTACGTTTCAACTATGGGAAGAACAGAGAAGTCGAAAATAACGGTTGCTGGCAGATGAGTTGCGCTTCCATCAGATATTCATTAGAGCTCTTTGTCCTTTAAATTGAGTGCTTTGATGCAGAGGATAAGCAGCGCACCTCTCACTGCGTTTCCAAGCAGCTCTGGCAACACATTGCTGTTGATGAAGTCATCATCCTCTTCAGGCTGACTAATTGAATAACAAAAGAAAGAGCATTTATATATCAGCAGGCCCGATCGTCAATCACTGCCATCATCTCCGTCTCTTTCCCGGTGTCTCCGACGCTTGTCCCGCAGCCTGCCGCATCCTCAGCTCTGCCTGCTGGACTCATTTTCTGTCTGCCGTCAATGGCAGCCAGCCTGCATCTGTATCCCGGATGCTTTTAGTGGTTTTTAGCTCAGCGTGTGTTTGCAATTTACTGCTCACCACAATTCTTCCACGCTCGAGAGGAAAGAAGTTTTGAACATGAAGTTGAATGTGGCAACACAGAAACGAAGAAGGACTTCTGTTTACATGCAAACACATTCATCTTGCTAGAATGTGACTCTCTGACGGGATGAAGTGACCTGACCTCTCAGGAACTCCACATTCACAGCTGTGCTGGTTCTTGATGGGCCAGCTTTGCTTTTGCTTTACTCAACAAAATTGACTCCAGATCTTTTTTTTAACTGGCCACATTGTTTCTCAGGGTTTCTGATTTTATGATGAAGAACCTTTTTCCTCCTTTTAAAGTAGGTGTGTACAATTTGTCCTGGTGACACTTACGTGTGTCCACTAAAAGTCTTTATGTAAACATATTTATTCACAGATATCGATGAGTGCAGCATAAACCATGGAGGTTGTAAATTTGGCTGCGTCAACACTCTGGGGAGTTACGAGTGTACCTGTCCACCAGGGTACAAGCTGCACTGGAACAGGAAAGACTGTGTTGGTATGTAGCAGCACTGCCCCCCTGTGGTTCATTCACTGACTCGCACTCAAAGCACGTTCCTCGTACCAGTGCCTGCACATGTTTCTCTCACTCTCTCCGCTTTCTTTGCCTACAGTGTGTGATTCTCTGTGGGTCTTATTTTCCCCTCAGAGTTGATGAAATGTGCTGTTGGACTGGTGGCACCAAAGGCCACTCTGACCTGTAGCAAGACGGGCAAGAAAGAGAGCTGCTCTCTCACCTGTGCCTCGAAGGCTCACTATCTGGCAGGTATGTCACCCACAGTGAGCGTGCAATCACAAAACCGATGTCATTTTGAATTAAACATTCTCCAGACTTAATTTGTTTGCGTGTGACCTTTTGCAGAGTCTGATAACAGCTACTCAGTCAGTTGTGGTATCCCCATCTTCAGAGGGAAGTCCACTGCCAGGCTCAACTCCAGCAGTAGTCAGGGCTGCATAGGTTCGCTGCCCTCCAGATTCCTATAATCGAACCCTTTTTAACGACCTGTCAATCACAGGCAGTCTGTCTTTGCTGTGGCAGCAGTGTGATGTTGCCGTGTGCTGCCCCCTACCCACTGTGCTGTGTTTGTCTGTAGAGACTTTGGCCCCTCCGGTGAAGCAGACGGCTTCTTTCAAGATTAAAAACGCCAAATGTCACCTGCACCCGAAGCTGACCGGCAAGACGGAGGACAGAGGACGGACACTTGGACCAGGTCAGCGCTGCTGTGTAGATCTGCTATTATTCATGGACATTTAAAAGGGTATAAGGTATAATTAAGAGCTGAAACAATGAACAGAATATTTAAAATGGAAAATTAATTCATTGTTTTAATCATTTTTCAAGCAAAAATGCCAAACATTCACTGGTGCCAGTAAGATTTTGTTGTGTTTTTTTGTCACATACAATTATTATTATATACACTTGTTGGATAAAAGAAGCAATTTGGCTCTGGCAAATCACAATGTGCATTTTTCACAATTTTCTGACATTTTATAGACAAAGCAATTAGTCGATTAATGGAGAAAATAATTAGCATCTTTCAAAAAAAGATATACATATAAATAAGTTGTAGCACTTATGTAACTGCTAATGGTGTATCTGCTGCCTTTGAGTCATATTTTCCAAGAAATTATAGATCTCGACTCTCAAACATGAATCAACATGAATTATTATTTATTGATGTGCGATGGGGGGTTTGTTGATATCCTGTTGTTCACAGGAGGGGGGCAGCCCTGCAGCAACTGCCTGGTGACATTTGTCAACCTCAAATGTGACTCCTCAAAGAAAGCTAAAGGGCGACGCGCTCGCAACCCCGCTAACAAAGAGGTAACGCGTATTACGCTGGAGCTGGAAGCTGAGGTCAAACCGGGAGACACTACAGGTCAGTCATCTAGTTTAACACGATTTCTTTGCAGCAGTTACTGTCTGTTGACCTTGTGATGATTTTTATGGACATTTAAAAGGGTATAAGGTGGAATTAAGAGCTGAATTTATCGAGACAATAATCATCATATTAATCCTTACTGAAAGTGATCATTAGTTGCAGTCCAATACGATCAGGATCTGCTGTGTGCTTGTGACTAAAACAAATGTGTTTTATTGGACCATAAACAGGGAGTTGCAATCTCAGCTGCCTGAGACAGCGCATGGAGAAGCAGGTAAAGACGTATATCAAGGCTCTGAAGAAGTCCATCAACCAGGAGCGCTTCCTGATCCGAGTCGCTGGTTTGGAATATGAGGTGGCCCAGAAGCTTCCCCAGGCTACTCCCAGTCAGGAGAACTGTGGCCCGGGCTGGGAGAGGGACAGCGGACGATGTGGTAAGACTGGAGAGCTGGACTCAGGAGCCTTGGATGAGCTAATTTACTGTGATGTGATGTTGATGTCGTCTCGAGACATATGCTGTCATAACCTGCAATACAAGGTCTTGTGAGGTGAAGTAAACACTCCGTGTTGAATTTATTAGGTACACCTTTACACTGTAATGAAGTCAAATACAAGTGTTCAGCCATGAAGGCTGCTATTATAATGCCTATAATAATAATTTCAAGTTTCATGTTCGGAACAAGTGCATCAACCAAAAAAACTGTGTTCAAGGTTTGCATTTTTTTTTTTTTGCTGATTAAACTGACGCGAGTCCTCTCTGACCGGAGCCGTTGTGGATATTCTCTCAGTCAGATGCTTGTCGGGGTCTTACTACCATGGCGAGCAGGAGCGCTGTGTCCAGTGTCCACCTGGCACTTTCCAGGAGAAGGAGGGGCAGCTGGGCTGTGACCTCTGTCCCGGCAGTGAGGGCCACGGGCCTGTCGGGGCACGAAACATCTCCTCCTGTGCAGGTAGCCTAGTTCTTGTTTTCAATATTAAACATGTACTTCTGATAGTTATGTATTCCTACTTAGTAAAGCGTCTCTCCATGCTCTACTAATCAAATCCAGGCCAGTGTTCAACGGGGTCCTTCTCCAGCGATGGGTTCAAACCTTGTCAGGCGTGCCCTCAGGGCTCGTACCAACCAGATTTGGGGCGGACCCTGTGCTTCCCCTGTGGGGGAGGACTGGGCACCAAGCGGGAAGGTGCCAGCTCCTTCCATGATTGTGAAGTCAAAGGTCAGCTTGTGCCGTTTTTATGCAGTCAAAGAAGGAGAAAATACACTCAAATCATTTTGCAAAACCTTCCCCAATTAATATGTGTATTCATTTCTGCCCTGCAGTTCAGTGTTCTCCAGGTCATTACTACAACACCACAGTACACCGGTGTATCCGCTGCCCAGTGGGGACGTATCAGACAGAGTTTAGACAGAACTACTGTATTACGTGCCCTGGGAACACCACCACTGATTTTGATGGTGCCACAAGTGTCTCGCAGTGCAAGAGTGAGTATGAAAATTACTGTTTTATGTTTTTAGATTACTCAGATGTGAGCTGGAGCCGAATTAGTTTTGTTTTGTGTTCGTCTAGACAGGCAATGTGGTGGCGAGATGGGCGAATTCATGGGTTACATTGAGTCACCCAACTATCCCGGTAATTACCCTGCTAACGTCGAGTGTATTTGGAACATCAATCCGCCCAGCAAGCGCAAAATCCTAATTGTGGTGCCGGAGATTTTCCTGCCCTCGGAGGATGAGTGCGGAGATGTGCTGGTTATGAGGAAGAACTGTAAGTGTCTCTCGTTACGGTTAAAGTTTCAATAGAAGTCCAAGTTAGTATTGATACTGTATATCATTTGCACCATACAAACCCGATTAGTCACCATTGTTTTGTATGTGCCCCTACAAGGGTCGGCTACATCCATCACCACCTACGAGACATGCCAGACGTACGAGCGGCCCATTGCCTTCACAGCTCGCTCCAGACGTCTCTGGATTAACTTCAAGTCCAATGAGGCGAACAGCGCCAGAGGCTTTCAGATCCCCTATGTTACTTATGATGGTACGTAGCATTCTCATTCATTACACAAGCTGTGTATTTGCTATCTCTCTCTGCCTCTGGCCCCTTTTCATGCATAACGCTGGCGACAGACTGCTCATTTTCACGAATGCGATGGAGGGAATTTCTTCAAATTTGGCACAAACGTCCACTTGGACTTGAGTTATGGCCAACAACGTGCTTTGTGAGGTCACGGTGACATTTGTCTAACAAATTCTAATCAATTGAACCTCAAGAAATATTTATAATTTAATTATGACAATTTCATACAAATGTCTAATAGGATAACATGATGACGTGATGACATTTTGGACAGGCATGGACGTAAAATACAACCTGACTGGTTGGCAGATTGGTAATTCTAGCGATGACATAACATATTGTGACTTTGACATGTAAAGTGTTAAATACAAATAACCAAAATAAGGAATAATTTAGCAAAAATGGGCCAAAATCATCTACATTGTTAGACATACGACGAGGTGAGGGGAAATATGTTACTCCATACTTTCTAACTTCACTTACGGGACTTATCCGACCATTTCATTTAAAAAGTGTTTTCTCAGAATGTCATGTTGTGACTAGAAGTAATTGTGTCTTGTGTTTCTATAACTTCAGAGGACTATGAACAGCTCGTAGAGGACATAGTGCGAGATGGAAGACTGTATGCCTCAGAAAACCATCAAGAGATCCTCAAGGTGAGCAGATTTACTTCTTACTGCGTTTGTCCGGCTTCTTTTCTTGATGATACACAAGAGCACCTGTGAAAGGTGACTCGTAAAACAATAAGCTGTACCTAACAAACATATTAGTGCTCGCATGAGTCAGAAAATACCTGAAATGATTTGCTAATCTTTTCATATAGGTGTGTTATTTGTTTCTCAGCATTGTGCAATAGCTTCAAATGTTATTCAAAGGATTATTAAGGACGAAAATATGCATTTAAGTGTTGCGTTTACATCCGTCCGTTTGTCCCTACAGGATAAAAAACTGATTAAGACTCTTTTTGATGTGCTGGCTCACCCAAACAACTACTTTAAGTACACCACTCGGGAGTCCAACGAGATGCTTCCTCGCTCTTTCATACGCCTCATCAGCAGCAAAGTGTCCGCTTTCCTGCGACCATACAAGTAAAGCCCACACAGCTGCTGAAGCACGGGATTGTGGCCCACCCCCCTCCCCAGACCTCCCTCTCCACGCCATCCCGCAACTCTTACAGGACTTTAACAAACATACCAGTATGTTTACCCTCTCTTATTTTCCATAGGCTTTTGACAATAAACACTATGCAGACCTGAGAAATAATGAAAATTTGTGTTTTTAGGTTTTTTTTTGTCAATCTCCGCTCAGCACAGGTCTGCAATCCCGAGCTCAAGCATTTAGTGGGTACGTGTAGAGTATGTGAGTGGGTTTGGTTTCTGTTGTGCAATGAAACCACGAAAAGAAAACAATAGAAACGCCCTTTTCAGACAGTAGGAGTGACGTTTTGTGGGCGCGGTTTGAGCTTGATAGAGCTAGTTATTGTATTCGCTTAAATGAGTGGTCTGAGCTCCAACTCCTACCATTACGTATGACTGTAAGTGTTGTGTAACCCCTAGTTCCATCTTCAGTGTCTGTCTGCTGTCCTCGAGGAGGAGCGGCTGTTCAATTTTGTGTCGCAGCTACGTTCCGGGTCATTCAAAGCCTTACTATATTTGAGCTCTTAGAGCAGTTTCAAGGGTTTTACTGTTAAAACAGTCAATGTATTGTTCCGTCTGTCTCGACTGTACCAGCGTTTTCCAACCATCAGATCATTTGTTGCTCTTTTTGTTTTTAAGCCAACTTAAAGCAAATACACAAACAGGTGCTTTATCAGTCCAGGAACATAGTGGACATTATGGAGATGAATAACAAACTAATACTTGAGAGCCACAGAGAGGAGATAGTGTGACGTCTAGTGGAACATGTCTCAGAAAGAGCGCGAGAGAGAGAGAGAGAGAAATGTCTTTGAGGGACATTATGTTTGCTGCTGCTTTTAAAAGGTCACTTTAATTCTTCAATCTCATATTGTCTTTCTGATGTACTCTACACACCAATAGTCTCTAGGTTTAAAACTAAGGAAGCTCAGTGTCTGAAACACTTAGTTCTTACACAGTAAGTTGATAATGTCACATTGCCTGTCTGGACTACCAGTTTTATTGTGTTTTTATTTCAATCTTGTAAATAATGAAAAGAAATTAGACGAGGGTTGAATTCTTTGATCCTACGCAGGACCCCCAAAATTACTTTCTGCTCTTCATGTCCCACCCGTGTCAAATCCAAAGACACCCAGTACTCCCTTTGAAACACCCCACTTGCATTTAGTTCTGTCCCAATGAAGACAGCTCTTCCAAAGACCGCCCAAAAAGGACGGGTCACTTTGTCTTGTACACTAAATTTAGAGCCCGTCATCCTACTTAAGTGCAATGAATGAGAACACATCGTAAATTTTAATTACACCCTTTTGTGACGCCACAACAAAGCTTGTGAAATGTGATTTAGGCTGCATTCTTGTTGAGACTCATTTTATTAAATATTTATCAGTCACTATGGGCAGAAGATGTTTTAAGTTACAATGTGTAACTGCTCTTATTAAGAGAAATACAAAAACACTGTAAAGTCTGTCAAGAAATGTAATAAAAACGGAACATTTGGTGTGTAAAAAGAAAATGGTGATTTCAAAACAGCGACCAAAAGAGTCAAATTATTTTAAAATCTAACATGTTAGGATCTTCCAAGTAGATAAAGGAATTGCTTGACATTTTTGGGAAATCGAAATTGCCAAGAATCGTATGGAATTGAAACAACTCGTCTGGACAGATAGCGTAGCACAAATACTGCGACTACCAGCACCGCTAAAGCTCACTAATTACAAAATAGTTGTAACATTTTAATCAGTGGGGTGGGGGTTATGTGTTGCATTATTTTATGGCTAGGACATTACTGGAGCGTCTGAACTAGAAACCTCAGTGACTCCAGAAGGAAAGCAAGAAAGGGAATAAATATTTCTCACTATGTCTGGACTAGTCTTCAGTCCCACCATTCCTAAATCCTTAGCACCACCACTTCAGTCAAATTGGTAAAGATGACTGCACGATGATTATGATAATCCAACACCTTATCAAATTTAATTGAGTCAACGGTTCGGGGGGACCCATTTGTGTAAATAAAAATAATTGGTACAGGATATGAAGTGTACCATCTCAAACTCTATTAAGTAGGCTACCTAAATTTTAGGATGACAAAGGGATTTTGATGCTGGGCCAAGCCACGAAGAACTCACGTCAGGTTGAAATTCCTCTACAGGTCAATATGTCCGCGTACTACAGGCCAACGGGCAGCATCCCAGTGCGCTCCCTCGGCCCACATGCCCCAAAATTCCCCCTCCCACCAGAATCAGCTTCTTTCCTGCAACCTGATAAGTTTTGTTTTATTGTTAATTGTTGCCTTTTAACGAGAGTTTGCTATGATGTATCATAGAGTTGATAATGATATTTGCACTTGAATTGTTATTGCTCATGTAAAGAAATGTCTGGATTTTGTATTGTCTTTTTAAATGAATGGAATTGGTGTTCTTATTTTCTTGTAGCTTGTTTGTTCATGAAATGCTCACTCACCGTTTAGTCTATAGAGATGATACATAACATTATCAACTGTTAAGAAAAGAAGAAGCTATGTACAGAGGTGAATGACACAGGTTTGTACTTGTTACTTAGCCAAGACACTTATTGAAATAAACATACTGTACTTCAGCTTCATTTCAAACATATTTTAATGTCTGTATAATGAGTTTATACAAGTCTTATATGAGCCAGTAAGAAAATATATCACTATTGGTGTATTATTATGGACTTGTAGAAGGAAGACGTGACGCTTAGGAGACTAACATTTCAATCCTCCACTGACTGCTGGTCAACGGTTTAACCAGGTTGGATTGAAAACTGTAGTTTCACGTTTTAGCTAACTCATCAGCCCCTCCAGTTGTAACGACGTCCTGAAATAAAAATTGATCATAATTAATCAAAAGTGTTGTAAAACTAAGAATATGATGCAACTCGTACACAAAACGATTGATTACTTACGTGTACATGTAGGGAGGCCAGGTGACCATCGGCCATCACCACAGGTAACGGTGCTCGGGCCGGTCTTTGTGTAGCCCGGGATGCACTCTATTGATATCGTGTCCCTGTCTTGATACCGCTTGGATTGAGCTCCCGTCCAGTAGGCGTTTGGCACATTTGGATCTGGACATGTTATATCTGTGAGAAAACAGAACTCAATTTATATTCTAGTCATATCAAATAAGATAGTGACAGCTCTTTAAAAAAAATACATCTTTTTAACAACTTTATAAGTGTCAAGGACCTTTGCATGTAGGAGGAGGATCACTCCATGTCCCATCCTTGGTGCACCAAATGTTCCTTTGTCCAATAAGAGTTCCCACACGACAATGATAGCGAATCTCAGTCCTGTATGTGTAAGATGGCTCGTGAGGGCCCGTCATCTCTGCATTCGTCCCTCCTGGAGGCTCCACACAGACAACCGCTGGAAGAGATACAGTAGTGTCGGCACAGCTAAAGAGGACGGAAACTTAAAGGCCACATAAGAAATGATGCGAGATCACCACACCTTCACAGGCAGGAAGACGTCCGTCCCAGCCTTTATTCAGGCAGTTTCTGGTTGCCCGTCCTACAAGACGATGCCTAGTGAAAGAAATACATTTTTCAGCGAGTTTCAGAGATGGAGAATGCGAAATCTTTTAGTTAAAAAGAATAACACAAGTAGAACGGACCTTCCCTTTCAAATCAACAGCTGGATGGTCAATGTTTCATACATGTCAAGTCTCAGCGGCGGCCATTTTTATATATACCATAAAAGCAGGCCAACTTATTGTGTTTCTATGGTCAATGAACAGTACTGAGCACCGCACTTTTGAACTAATCAGATAACCACAGCAAATAGTTCAATGTCGGTACTCATTGTATTTCTATGAGTGTGCCATGAAGAACGGAGTAACATGGTACATCATAAAAAATATATATATAATATAGTATGTAAAAAAAAAAAACGTATTTAGGTATGTATGGTAGTTAATCCTTGGTATCATATGTAAAACAAAAAAAGAATAAACACATTTCCATGTGTACTGTGAACGTTGCAGCGGGCCAACTCATGTTTCTGTGGTCATTGCACAGTGCTGAGCGCTTTTGAACAAGTCAAATGACCAGCAAAGAGCTCAAAGTCTCTTCTACTCTGATTCCAGCTATATGATAGGACAGCAGTGCAGTATACGGATGTTCCTTACCCCTCATTGCACACAGCTGTAGCAGTGTCTCCAAACTCCACTCCAGTATAGGTAAACAGTCCGTTCAGAATCTCTCCTGCAGAGCCACATAACTTTCCTTTGGAGCGTGAAAAAGGTCAAGTTAAACGGGTAATACAGAAAAACATTAATAAATCTCTAAACTAGGACTGAGAAGGATCATAAAAAAAAAAAAAAAAACGTTAAAAGTTCTTACGTTCACATTTTAGCAGCAGCGGTGTCCACTTTCCCCCGACACACCTGCGATACCTGCTGCCGCCTGAGGCAACGTATCCGAAGTCACACACGTAATGGACTTTGTCACCACGAGCGAAAGAGGTCATCGTGAAGTACCGGTCAGCGAGGTTGGTGTTGGAGTCGCGGGTGGTGACTGGCACACCGCATCCTCCTGCTGAACAGACCAAAGGGTCAGTCTGGATGAACAAACGTGTCACCACTTCTTTTTTAATAAGCCACACAAGTGGTTAACAAAAAAAATACTCACTTTCTTTATCGGGTGAAGGCAGGCATCGAGGGGGCTGAGGTTGCCACAGGCCGCCCGGTCCACAAGTGATCTGCTGAGCTCCATCCAGCTGGAAACCCCGGCTGCAGGTGAAGGTGACGTAGTCTCCCACTCGGTATACAGAAACATCTCCGGTTCTGTCCACAGAGTTGGCCACTGCAGGGGTGGAGCAGGTGGCCTCTCCCTCTGAAGAGATTACAATTATTTTTCTCCAAATTGATGGCACTGTCTGATAAAGACAGTATCTGCACCTCACTATTCCTGCTATGCTTGGAGGGAAATGTATTAGTTAGATTAAGGCCTGGCCAGCAGATGGAATCCCAAAAAACATGGCTATTATATATGATGTTATGTGACTTATTTTCACAACTTTATTGCCATAATGGCAAACATGTTTAAATGAATTAAGGGGAGACAGCCGAGGTGAGTTTTCTGAAAAAAAAATGTAATATGTAAATCGGGTATTATCTTAAAAATAAATTCCAGAATAGAAATCTGAACATTGGGGAAATTTGTCCCTGCATTTGACCCATCCCTGTATCAGGGAGCAGTGGGCTGCCCATGACAGGCGGGGGTCAGTGTCTTGCTCAAGGACACTTCGACTCAGAACACGTCAACCCTCCGGTTACCAGACAACCCTCTTTTGTTGACATATTAGAGTCAAAAGTTTTAACAGTGGGAATTTTGGATATCTTTGCATTAGTCCATAAATCACAAAATACTATTATTCTCAATCAAATATTAGGAATACAAGTTCAATAAATCAGGCTATGAATGACATCTGGACAAACCTTCAGAATAAAGATAATTAAAGAGAAGTTTGGCTACTGAAGTGAAGATTTGTCGCGCAAAGAAATCAGCATGTAAAGATGTGTATTGTAATATTCCATACATTTTGCAAGACAATTCTGAACATTTTAACTAATAGATATTGCCACAAAACTTCCCAAGTTGATTACTTACACGAAGCAATTATTTTGTGTATGAGAAGTTCTGTTTAAATATGCAATTGAGGCATTATCTAACGCTAACTTTTGGTGAATTTAGGAGAAATCTAGAGACCACAGTGTCTCGCCTTAAGGAATTATACAGAAACACCTTAATTGTGCGTCACAGTCGTTACTCACCGTCAACACGACACCGTCCGCATTAGATCACCTCTTAAGGTGCAGCGACCACAGTGTGTAAAGAGTATCAATGGGTTTCAGATAACACGCCTATGATGATGCTCTAATGCTCGGTTGCTCACCTACACAAGACGGGAGTTCACCGGTCCAGCCAGACTTCTTGCATATCATGTAGTCGAATCCTTTCAGAGTGTATCTGTCGACATGGAGATAAACACGTCACAAAGTCAGAGGCTTATTCTAACAGAGTTTTAAGGATTTCCTTTGAGCTTCAACTTACCCCTCTTTGCATTTAGCATAAACTTTCGCCCCGACGAATGAATTCCCTTCATACTGAAACTCCCCGTTAGGTAGATCCCCGGCATTGCCACATGATTTCTCTGTCGGAAGAACGAGATTGTAGGTGCTCTTGAGGTTATCACTCACACTCACACTCTCTCTCTCACACACACACACACACACACACACACACACACACACACACACACAC